TTTTCTTCCGCAGATTCTATTTCCTTTTTTCTTCCCCAGATTCTCTTTCCTTTTTTTTCTTCCCCAGATTCTCTTTCCTCTTTTTTTCTTCCCCAGATTCTCTTTCCTCTTTTTTCTTCCCTAGATTCTCTTTCCTTTTTTTTCTTCCCCAGATTCTCTTTCCTCTTTTTTCTTCCCCAGATTCTCTTTCCTTTTTTTCTTCCCCAGATTCTCATTCCTTTTTTCTTCCCCAGATTCTCTTTCCTCTTTTTTCTTCCCCAGATTCTCTTTTCCTCTTTTTCTTGTTTCCCGTTTCACCCTGTCTTTTTTTTTCTTTTTCTTCACATTCTCTTTTTTTATCAGAATTTCCTTTTTTTTCCTTTCACTTTATTTTTTTTCTTTCATTCTTCTTTGCATAAAACTTCTTTATCACATTCTTTAACTCTTTCAACTTCTTTTATTTTTCTATTTTTGTCCTTCAAATTTTATTTCTTTATCAGATTAATTTTTTTTTAAATTTCTCTTTCTCAAAAACAAAATTATTTTTCAGAATTTTCTTCTTTCTTTCTCTATTTCTCAATCACCAAATGCTTAGCCTTTTCTTTCACTCTGGTTTACTTTTTCTTTATTTTCATTCCTTTCGCGAAACAAATCCGCACCCAATCTTAACAAACAGAATTTTTAAATATCCTAGTAAATAAAAATCTTTTGTTTTAAAAGACAAAATGAGTAAAAAAAAACACACAATTCATTAAAAAAAAAAAACCAGAATAATCTATATTAATTAATCAAATTAAGTTGTTTACATTTCAAATTCGATTAGTGTTTTTACTTGCTATTTTTCACAGTTAAATCAAAATAAATATTTTATGCATAAATATGATTTAAAAACTTAAATATGTCGTTCGTAAGTTGTCAAAATGCCTGTCAGTTGCTATAAAATGTTTAAATAATAAAGAAATGTAAATCTTTCACTCCACATTTTTCGTCCTGGGTAAGCCGTTAAACTTGATCCACGTCCTAGGTAAGACGATAAACTACGTCCAGCAGCAAGGCCTCTGATCAGAAGGTTTTGAGGAGCATGGAACTACCTCTTAATTGCTGGTGTTCCAGGTCCACCCTGACCCGGGGTGGTAGCACCTGTTAGGGTCCCAGCTATGGGTAAATAGTTAACTATTACCAGCAATACTTTTTTTTTAAAATTATTACCAGCAATACAATTTTCAAGGAAAAGTATTACCAGAAACAGATTTTTGACAAAACAAAATATTACCAGCAATAAAAATTTTTCTCAGCATTAAATAACCCATTGAGGTTGATACGCCATAAAACAAAATAAACCAAACCAATGTAAAGCAAAGAATACATATTCTATTCATACGAATCTATCAAAAAATGTTGTCGGTATTAAATAACCCATTGAGGTTGATATGCCGTAAAACAAAATAAACCAGACTAAACCAAACATTTGCAAAGTATTTCATTTCGCCTGATTTGAGCAAAAGGAATTTTTACAAATATTTACATTCGATATTTAGAATCTTCTTTAAATAAAATCAAGTGACCAGCAACAATAAAAAAAATATTTTAGAAACTCTTTCCTTATTTATTTGCGTCAGATCTCTCTTTCTTTTATTTGATCGATCTGGAGAGTTTCAAAATATTTCAAATTAATCATATATTTCATCGAATATTTTTTCATTTCTTGAATAAGATATTTCCAAGTTAGGCTTTAGACGTTCAGAAATAAACAAAAAACCTTTTCTTCTGTACGTTTTTCACGTAATTATTGTACGTTTTTCATTTAATTATTCGACGTTTTCAAGTCCTGCAGCAAGTCCCTCACCGGCGCCACGTAATATTGGCATTAATCACTTATCCGATTTTGTTTGTATGGCAATGATATACTAGTCAAGAGCAGAAAGGCTCCCACCACTGCTAGTAAACAGAGCATGTTTAAGCTTGTGGCTCGGCTCCAGGAAGGTTTATAGTCTTGGAAATACTTGTAACAGCTAAGTACTGAGGTTACATCATATAAAAGGCTGAATGAGATAGCTAACGTTATAGTGTAATGACTCAACATACAAATACACGTCCCTATTAGTCAAGCCAATTAGGTGATTGTCCAAGCTTACTTGAGCCTGGGTGTTGCCTTATATTTGTCTTGGAAGAGGCACACATATTATTCAGGTTATTTTTAGGAAAAAAAAGTGCGTCTTGTAAACCGGAAAATACGCTACTCTCTGTTCTCCATTCACATTTTATTATCTTTTGTTCAAAATGGTAGAATTAAATATAATTTTTGTTTATTTGTATTGATTTTTAAATCTACACTGAGACGTTTTTTTTTGTTTTTTTTTGTTTTTGTTTTCATTCAGAGGTTCTTGTAATTCAGCAGATAATTCTGTGATATATTCTTGAAAAAGATTCAACATCGTTTGTACCATGAATGGGTGAAGTTACAGAGCAGATGAGTGCCTAACCCCCTTTCGTAAAGTATGTCTCAGGTTGAGTGCTAAAGACTAAATTACTGTGACGGATAATCCAACCTACAAAGTGTTGTTGTCATTACATTTTTTTCTGTTTGCCTCTTCTTTTGCCTAAGGTAGAAACTTCTAGAATGGCAGTGATAATAATGCCGGAGCTTACAACGTGTCTGTACGATTTTCAATTTCTACACTCTGACATATGAAGTCGGTTAATGGGCCTGACTCTTTTTTGATGGTGTTTCAAAAATCGTCATCGTAGAAGATGGATAGAATACGGTCGCCGTAGAAGATGGATAGAATACGGTCGTTGCTGAAGTGAGATAGAATGCGGTCGCTGTAGAAAATGCATTGAATAAGATGGACGTAGAAGATGACAGGAATAAATCGTCATAGAAGATAGATAGAATACGGTTGCAAAAGAAGATGGGTCAAATAGAGTCGCTGTAGAAAATGGAGAGAATAAGGTGTCCGTAGAAGTTGGATAGAATACGGCCGCCGTAGAAGATAGAATAACATCACCGTAAAAGATAGATAGAATGAGGTAGCCGTCGAAGATAAAAATAATATAGTCGCCGTAGAAAATGTATAGAATAGGCACGCCTGAGAAGATATATACAGTACGATCGATGTACAAGAAGGATAGAATACGGTCGCCATAGTCGATAGATAGAATACCTGCGTGTAGAAGATAGAATATGGTCGCCTAAGAAGGTAGATAAAACACTGTAGCCGAAGAACATACATAAAATACGGTCGCCGTAGAAGATAGATAGAATACGGTCGCTGTAGAAGTTGGATAGAATGTGTTCACCGTAGAAGATGGATAGAATAAGGTCTCCATAGGAGTTGAATAAATTATGGTCGTCATAGACGATGCATAGAATAAAGTCGACGGTCGAAGATGTATAGAATAAGGTTTACGTAGAAGATAGAAAGAATACGATCATCGTAGAAGATGAATAGAGTATGACTGCCGTAGAAGATGGACAGAATAGAGTCACGGTAGAAGATGGATAGAATACTGTCACCGTAGACGTATAGAATAAGATCACCGGAGAAGATACATATAATACGGCTACATTAGAAGATATATAGAATACGGTTTCCGTAGAAAATACATATAATGAGGTCGCCTTAGAATATAGATAGAATACGATCTTGGACAGAGTACGGTCGCCATAGAAGGTAGATGGAATAGGGTCGCTGTAGAAGATGCATTCAATAATGTCACCATTTAAGATGAATTGAATACGGTTGCCGTAGTAGATAGATAGAATGCTGTAGGCGTAGAAGATGTACAGAATACGGTCTCCGTAGAAGATAGATAGAATATAGTTCCCGTAGAAGATAGATATAATACGGTCGCTGTAGACGATGAATAGAATACGGTCACCCTAGAAGGTCGATACAATATGGTAACCGTAGAAGATACATATAATACGGTCGTCTTAGAAAATGGATAGAATACGGCCTTCGTAGAAGATGAATAGAATACGGTCGCTGTAGAAAATGAGTATTATACAGTCGCTGTAAAAAATAGACAATATGCATTCGCTATAGATAAATAGAATACGGTATCCATAAAAGATGGATAGAATAGGATCAGCGGAGAAAATAGAAAACAATACTGTCGCCGCATAGAAAAGAATAAGTTCACCGTAGAAGATATCATGGTCGCCATTATAGATAGATAGAATACTGCCGTCTTAGAACATGGATATAATACGGTCGCAGTAATATATAGATTGAATACAATCGGCGTAGAAGATCGATAGAATACAGGCTCCGTAGAAGTTGGATAGAATACAGCCGTCGTAGAAAATGAATAGAATATGATGGCCGTAGAAGATAGAATAAGCCAACGCAGAATATAGATAGCATACGGTCGCCGTCGAAAGTGAATTAAATAATTCTGCGTAGAAGATGAACAGAAGACTATCGCCGTAATAGATAGATAGAATACGGCTGCCGTAGAAGTTGGATAGAATACGGTCACCGTAGAAGCTGGATACGGTCGTCGTAGAAGGTGGATGGAATCCAGTAGCCGCAGAAGATGATTTGGATAAAGTCTCCGTAGATGATGAAAAGAATATGGTCACCGTAAGAGTATAAGATGGGTAGAATACGATCACCGTAGAAGATGAATAGAATATGGCCTCTGTAGAAGGTGAATAGAATACGATCGCCATAATAGACATAAAATACTGTCGGCGTAGAAGATAGATTGAATAAGATCACCACAGAAGACAGAATGCGATCGCCGAAGAAGATAGATAAAACAATGTAGCGGTAAGTGATAGATAGAATATAGTCGCCTAGAAAATGAATTGTTGGTTTCCGTAGAAGATGAATGGAATACGATGGACGTAATAGATAAAATACTGTCCCTGGAGAAGATGGATAAAATTCGGTCGCTTTAGACGATGGATATAATACCTTCGCCATCGAATATAGATAGAATACCGACGCCGTAGAAGACAGAAATCGGGCGACGAAATAGACAGATAGAATACTCTCGGCGTTTAAGACCATATAAATTCTCCGTAGGAGAAAGATAGAATACGTTCGCCGTAGAAGATTAATAGAATACGGTGACCGTAGAAGATAGATAGAATACGGTCGTCGTAGAAGATGAATAGAAATAGTCACCGTAGAAGAAACAGTCGCCGTAGAAGTTAGTCAAAATACGTTCACCCGAGAAGATGAATTGAATAAGTTCTCCGTAGAAGATGAATAGAATACGGACGCCGTAGATGTATAGAATTCAGTCGCCGTAGAAGATTAATAGTATATGATCCCCGTAGAAGATGAATAGGATATGGTCGCTGTAGAAGATAGATAGAAACCGTTTGCCGTTGATGGATTGAATACGGTCACCGCAGAAATAAGATCACCGTAGAAGATAGAAACAATAGGACAGTGACGTCATAATGCCGTGCAGCCTCGCGTCCATTACAATTCGAGCAGCCTTATATAAAAATCATATCTGCCTGCTCAAAAATGAATATCTTGCCATTTTGAAACGGACCACTTATGAGTTAACTCACTAATAAACACGTTAAACTTTGTAACCAAACTAGCCTCAAATGTACACGAATAACAAATGTAATCTAGTCTATATGGCAACACACCGCCTTAGATCGCTTACTTTAAACTTAAAACCTGCCCCGAATGTTTGTAAAAGTATATATATATAGTTTCCCTGACGATCCGTTTAGGTGAAACCTAGGTAGGTTTGTCTGGCTCACTAGGTGTATCTATATATATATATATATATATATATATATATATATATGTGTGTGTGTGTGTGTGTGTGTGCGTTTGAGTGTGGGTGTATGTATGTATGCATGTATATGACAAAAATATTATATTTATGGTTATTAGTGCTCAATAGCAGGGAATAAAGCGTGGGTAAATATAAAAGTAAAAACTGAGATCAAAAGTGTCCACTGTCTAGCGATGGACAAACTCACTCTCTCTCTCTCTCTCTCTTTCTTTCTCTCTCTCTCTCTCTATATATATATATATATATATATTTATATATATCATTCTCCCTGCTCTCTTTCTCATTTCTCTCTCTATTTCTCCCACTCTCTTTCTCTCCCACTCTTTCTCTCTCTTTCTCTCTCTTTCTCTCTTGCCCTCTTTCTCTCTATGTATTTCTCTCACTCTCTTTCTCTCTTTCCTTTTCTCTATCTCTTTCTCTGTCTATTGATCCATCCCTATTTCAATGGCGTATTAGAAACAGAATTTTTTCTTATTGTGAATTTAACAAATAAAATTCTATGAATTATGCCTTAAATTATTTTTATGTCTTCGACAAGTCTTTGGTAATATTGCAGTTACATTCATTGTCCATACGGCAACGATAAAATAAGAAAGGTGATGTTCTTGGTAAGATTCTCATGCCTATTTTATTGTTAATAGACTCTCCCACCTATAATAAGTAGGAGTAGGAGTAGTATCAGTCACTAAGTCGCTCAGTGACTTGGTGAGTCAGTCGATGTCGGACATTAAAGTATCAACCACCACAACTAGATTGCTGCGTCATTAACTATTATAACAAGTTCTTAACGTTTTGTACGTCCTTTTTTAGGACCGATTTAGTGAAATACAAGCCTCCACTGTGAAACTACTCTATAACACTTAGTTAACCGTAAAGCCTGCATTTTTTTCCATTCTGGTCATCTTTGAATTCCTGTTAGCTCAGAACAGGAATTCAAGACGAAGCAGAATTTCGAATCTGAATGAGACGAGATAATTCTCGATATTTGCAACTGAACAGTCTACAAACGGAGATTAAATAAAGCGTCCGTTTTGAAATTCACCGAATGTTAAACGCTACGACAAGCACCTGATGAAGGCCAGAGAGTACTACGGCCAAAATGTTTTGATGATGTAAACAAAGACGAGGACAAAAGTCATGTAAATATGAAAACTCCTCATCCCTAAAATTCAAACTGATCTCTATGCTTGAAGTGTAACCGCTTGGACAGTTCTCAGTGTATTACTTTGCCACCTTAGTCAGGCTTATCTAACTGACTAGCAGCATGGCCCGGCGTTGCCCGTGCTTGATTCAAAAATCGTACAACTCATACAGCAATCGCTATCACTTGACTTAAAATATTTTTGCCCTTCCTTGCCTTTAAAGGAGTGCCCTTTGCCGTGCTGATGTTGCTACATGCCTTACTTCTTGCCCATCTCACACTGCGAATTTTTTCTAAGCTCTATACTAAACATTAAATCTGTTACGAAAAAAGAACTAAACAAAATGAACACAAAATAATCAGCTTTAAAAAAGGACTCGTGAATGGAAAAACCGTACGAAAAAAGAATGTTAAGAAAAAATACTTTTTCACACCCAACCCAGTTCTGCGGAATCAGAATCAACGTTGAGTTTAAGCAAGCGAATGAGCCAACTGGAGTAAAGTGCCATGCTGATTTAAATTTTTCCCACTTGTGACGAATGCAGCTATCGATTTCCTTTTTGCATGCTAGCATGCTAGTTAACATTCGTGTCAGTCAGCTGTTGGCTCTCACGCTGGCCAGTAGAATCTTCCTACCTATTCGTGGCAGCCAGCTATAGGCTCTCACTCTGACCAGTAGAAAATGGCCGCAAACTACCTGAAAACTGCCGTAGAAGCATGAAAAAATCGATTATTTCCACTATCGATGGGAGTTGGGAAATGCAAAGTCGGTCTTGGCCTTCCCGCTAACTTGGAGCATGAGCATGTAAATTTTGGTGCAAATCCGTCGAAAATTGCGGCCGTGTATTCGTTACACACACACACACACACACACACACACACACACACACACATCCTGCCTTTTATAGAATGAGATTATAAGTCTCACTATCTCATTTGCATTTCAACAAATCTGCTGTATTCTGTTGGTTTCTCTGTCATCACATTTGCATATATCTGGGGATTATCTGTTTCCACATTTGCATATGTCTGGCGGTTTATCTGTTTCCACATTTGCATATGTCTGGCGGTTATCCTGTTGCCACATTTGCATATGTCAGGTGGTCATCTGCTTTCACATTTGCATATTTCTGGCGCTTATCTTTTTTACCTTTGCAAATGTCTGAGGTTACCTGTCTTCACGTTTGCAAATGTCTGGCGGTTATCTTTTTCTACATTTGCATATGTCTGGCGGTCATCTGCTTTCACCTTTGCATATATCTGGCAGTTATCTGTCTTCACCTTTCTATATGTCTGGTGGTTATCTCTCTTCATATTTGTAAATATCTGGTGGTCATCTGTTTCCACATTTGCATATGTCTGGCGGTCATCTGTTTCTACTTTTGCATATGTCTAGCGGTTATCTGTCTTCATCTTTGCAAATGTCTGGCGGTTATCTGTCTTCATCTTTGCAAATGTCTGGCGGTTATCTTTTTTTTTTATTCTTTAAATATTCAGTACATTTTTTCTAAGGCCCAACTAGCACCGCCATCTTGGAAGTCTCTTTCTCAAGTTTAAAAATCAACCCACACTCCCACCGTGCCAAATTTTAGTGTTTTTTTGTTTTTTTATTCAACTTAAATAAAGGTGAACTTGCCTACATATTGCAGACATTGTAGCTGTCTCTTAAAAAGTGTGCTTTCCCGTTTGTGCTTTTCTCTTCACTGGGTCGGCATTTACTTTTCTTACTTCTTTCTATATTGCAGTTGTAAGTTCATTGTAAAAAACTGGCGAGTATAGATTAAAATTGTGACAACTAATATTGTAGTCATTTTCCATTATATTTTGCTTTGTAATATGATGGAAAAAAAAGAATGTTGTGTCTCTCTTGGGTTCATTAATATTTTCTCGGTAGTGATTGTGTGTGTGTGTCCGTTGCAAATTTCCCTTCTACACTCAGCGTCGGCATTCATTCAGAACTGATTACGGAACTACAGCAGCAATGCGATATTACTATAGAGATTTCTTTTCACGAAATGTTTCCCTCGTGCGCCAACACTGCACAAAATAACCTAAGTACACGTTTTGATAGATATCTTATTGAGATCCAAAGACGTATTGCGATGGCCAAAGTTGCATTACAGAAGCTAAGCAGAGTATCAAGAGACAGGAAAATTTCGTTAGAAACAAAGAAAAATTAATGAACTTTTAGGTCATATCTGTTCTCCTATATACCAGTGAATGCTGGACAATCTCTTCAAAGATGAAGAGACTCGACGCAACAGAAATATGGTTTTGCAGAAAGATGCTGAGGATGGGCTTAACATGTGACCAACAACGAGGTTTTGGAGAGAATGAAAACAAAAAGGAAACTTTTACTCAAAATAAGGAAGAGGCAGTTGTCATTTCTGTGATACGTAATGAGGAGGAAGGTCTTAAAAATCTGATACCCCATCGGACAGAGAGAGAGAGAGGAAAAGACGGACAGAAGAAAGCAGCGATTAGCATACTTGACGGGCTTGAGCAAATGGATGGCGGAAAAAGATTTATGAGAAATAACAAAAGCACAAAACTTATTAAGAACTACAGTGTAACCCGAATATAAGAGACCCTGATATAAGAGAAACACGGATATAAGAGAGATTTTCTCTGGTCCCAAATTAGAGCCTGTGTTAATGTATATAAATTAGACCAAACCCGGATATAAGAGAAACCCGGGTATAAGAGAAACCCGGATATAAGAGACTTCTCCTGTCCCGACAACTCTCTTATATCCGGGTTACACTGTACAAGGAACAGGAAAATGGGGGGGGGCTATAATCGCCTCTGTTCTGATGAGACATGGCAAAAGATGAATTCGGACATTTGGCCGACGGACATTTGGCCGACGGACATTCAACCAAATGGATATTTACCCGAATATGTAGTGGCCTACTTACATGTATCTCCCACTCTTTATCGTAATACGCTACATATATTTATATTTATTTACTGTATTAATTTATAATTTTTCATTTTTTACAGGCTTTTTTAAAAATCTATTCTGTATGTATTATATTTTACTTCAAATATTACTTTAAGATGATAAGTATTTTGAAATAAATCACACTTTATTACAGCAAAAAT